TGAGAACAGGCTGCCAAAAGTCAGTTGTACATTTTTTACTGTTTTCAGGGGGGGAAACAGTTGAAAATGGGTGTGCTAAATCTCTAAGAGGCAAATATATCAATTTCCACTGTTAGCTCCTCTCAACCAAAGGACCTGACCATTTCAGCCTCAGTCATTTATTTTTATATTTATGAGTGTGTGTATATACAATCCAAGATTATTAGGACTGTAGAAGGTCTTCTATGGCAAAATTCACAGTCGTCTGAAGCCCCAAACAATTGCTAACTGGATAATGGTTTTACCATCTCCTGCCAGCTATAGGAAAAGAGATTGCTTCCCAGCAACCACAGGACAGCTGATTTAAGTTTGTACAAATCCACTTCCTAGTACTTAGGAACAATTTTGAAATTATCACTGTGAAGAGATGGGAGAGATTTATACCCAATTTACCTACATGCAATCCTTGCTCAGCAGTGGAGTTCATTGGATGGTCTTGAGTCTCTTATCCAAATATAGGGTGATTGAACAATGCAAGAGGAACCACCACTTGCACTCACTACTCTGATCTGTAGTGAATTAATCGGCTTTTTTTGGTTTGCATGAGATTTGTTCAGATGAGCACCCTTAGGCTTGGACACAAGAGGAATTAAACATTGGGCCTGCCCCAGTTTTGATCACAAATATTCAAGTAGGAATATTTGGAGCTCCAGCATTTAAAATGTCATCCTTTCCATCCTTTCCATGTGTGAATATTTTTGGCTGTATGTACTCTGGTTAGGTTCACCACCCTACAAATGTGTGTGATCTGAAAAGAACCAGAGTACCTACAAATGTTACATGGATTTTTTTTTTTTCAGTCAAGACCTGAAATCTGAATGCCAATAATCATGACTATGCCAGTTTTTGGAGGAAAACAATTCATGCACCCACCACTTGGACAGAACTTACTGAATGTGCATGGTGCAAAAAAGAACTTGCTTAAGAAATTTTGCAATTAACGGCGAGATTGGCCAAGATATATAAAAATATGAATCCGGACTGCTGGAAATGTAAAAATAAAGAAGGAACATTTTACCATATGTGGTGGCAGTGCCCCAAAGCAAAGATCTACTGGGAGCAGATAAGGAGATGGATTCAGGAAATAACAAAACAACAAATTGAACTTAAATCTGAAATATTTTTATTAGGCATAATCAATCCAAAAATGGAAAAACGATTTCAATACATCATTATACATATAATAACTGCAGCACGCATTGCATATGCACAATGCTGGAAAAGGGAACACATACCAACAAATGCAATGATTATATGTAAGATATTAGATTGTGCTGAGATGAACAAACTTACTTTAGAAATAAAGGACAAAGAAGTTACAGAATTTTATGAGATATGGGACATGTATTATAATTGGTTAGAATTGCGGAATAAAGAAGTATGAGAATGTAATGTAAATAAATGTAAGAGATACAGGACATAGTACTATTAAGAAAAAAAGAAAAAATGTACTTTGTATTTTATTGTTTGTAAAGAGAAAAAGGAAAAAAGAAAAGAAAAGAAATTCTGCAATTAAGATGAACAACTTTTTAAAAACCAAAAACTGGACCTGTTCTTATACAAGGGAGTCTAACCTGCAGGCATTTAGTATGAAAAATTAATGAAATGGTTCACTAAGCTCAAGCTACTATTAAAGGCTGAGGAGCTGGGCCATCAAGAACTTAGTGTTCCTATTTGTCATTCCAGCTCTTACTGTGAAATGATTTGATTTACAGCTGGATTTGGACCATTTGGGACTCCAGGCTAATTCCTCTCTTGACTCCACCTCCAGGCTCTGCCTCTCTTTCTCCTACATCAGGGCTGCATATCTTGAAGTATACTTTTTCCTGTGAATAAACCCTAATGAGTACACTAATGTATGATGGTAGTTAACAGTTTCTTTTTTCTTTTTCATACATGGTAAATTCTGACCATAGTTTCTTTGCACAGGTGAATGTTGTGGGGTTATTGTTCATTATTATGCACTCAATCATGTGTTCCTCCTTGGTCAAGTAATACCACACCATACAAGAGAGTTTATAGCAATTAAAATTACAGTATGACGTTTCAAATTAACCCTACTCCCACACACCCTTCCATATGTTAAAAGAGCACGTAAGGCAGATGGTAAGGCCAAAAACTAACCCTGTTAACTTCTAGCTGTCAACATCCATAATTTTTGCAGTTCACACACTCAAGCTGAGGGAAAAGAACCCTTCTGTACTGCCACCTATAGTCGGTAGTGACTAGTGGAGTAAAATCCATAGGGACTCCTTACTTTTTACTTATAATATCCTACTCCTCTAAGAACCTTGCTAAATCAAGTTCCATTTCCAATCAAAGAAAGAAAACAAACACAGTTGGTGTAGTTCTAAGCCCAGGAAATATTGATCTCATCATTAGCATCTTGATCATTTTCTTAAAGGGGGAGGCTAAATAATTCTGCTTTATTCCCTTGTCCTTTATTTGCAAGGCAGGCTGTCTATAGTTTTCATCCCTTTGAGCTCAGACTATCATATTAGACAGAGCCTAATAGATTAAAAATCCCTATTGCAGACAATTCGTTGGTAGCATTTTCCTGAATGATTTCTATTATTATTGTACACTCAGGCACCACATTGACCTTGGCTTTGTTTTGCTACCCATGTATCCTGCTTCATCTTCTGCAAATTGTATGTAAATTATTACTTATTACAGGTTATTCTCACCTATAGATTGGGGAAGTCAGGGCAGAACAATTAACAGAAGTTTTGTCCTTATTTGCTTTTTATTTAAGTACTGTACTTATATCCTGTGTGTATAGAACACTTTTTCTCTTTGAGAAAAAAGTAGCTCATATATAGGCTTCCCATTAATTTTATTCCCACAACACATTAGATTATGATCAGAGAGAGTTGGTGGATCAAAGTCCTGACTGAGGTCTGTAGTCAAATGAGAACATGAAACTGGATCTCTCCCAGCTAAATCTAACCCCTGAGACTTTAAACACTCAGGCTTTGCAATAATGAGCTTGAATGTCCTGTTTTTATAGATTTCTAAAAGTTGCTGTTAAACATATAAAATTAAGTCCTTTAGATCTTAAAATATGCTTAAGAACACCAGAAAGTTGTCTATACATTTGATGATGATGATGATGATGATGATGATCTCCGTTCAATCCGACTCTTAGTAATTCTATGGTCTGCCACATCTTCCAATCTTGCACCACTTTGAGTTTTTCTTTATTCTGGCTGGTGTCAGCTTTGATGGTGTCCAGCCACTGTGTTCTTTGATGATCTGGTTTCCTAACTCTGCCAAACATAATTGCTTTCTCCAATGAATTCCCTCGCATGTCACTGCCAAAGTTTATAATGTTGACTACAATTGCTATGCTATTGGAATTACAATTCAGCAGTTAACTCATGTCATTTGGCCTTGCTCTCTGTTACCACATTTTGTGCAAAAATTCACAGAATTGTTAATATGCTTTAGAATGACCACTTTATATAAAAAATCCATAGTTTCTTTGTAATGTCTCCAGTATTTCAAATTATCAAGGTTTGGGGATATCTCTATTTGGACTCTGAGTAGATCAAGACCTATTTTGCTCACGGAGATGTCCAAAAGGAATGTTATGTTTCTTGGTGGACAGATGAATTTATACTTGGTGTGCAGGTGTGAATTGCCAATATGCTTAGTTTGTTAACATGTAAGTTAAGTGATTCTTCAACAAAGAAATAAAGAAAATGACTTTTAATGTAGTCAATTTGGGGGGAATTATTATTCACCGCTTTCACCGCTTCTGGAGGCAGGTTGTTCCACTGGTTAATTGTTCTAATTGTCAGGAGGTTTCTCCTTAGTTCTAGGTTGCTTCTCTCCTTGATTAGTTTCCATCCATTGCTTCTTGTCCTGCCTTCAGGCACTTTGGAAAATAGCTTCACTCCCTCTTCTTTGTGGCAGCCCCTGAGATATTGAAACACTGCTATCACATCCCCCCTCGTCCTTCTCTTCATTAAACTAGACATACAGAATTCCAGCAGCCGTTCCTTATATGCTTTAGCCTCCAGTCCCCTAATCATCTTTATAATTATCACATTCCAACCCTTTCTCCCCCCCCCCTTTAATACTTCCCAGTCCAATGGGAAGAATGGGTAACTACGGTATGTAAAATGTGTAAAAGGGCTTGAAACTAAATCAGCAGAATAATCCTCCCCTCCAAAAAAACTCCAAAATTAGACCAAATTAGGTAAGGCAGGAGAAGCTAGCAAAAGACTGAACTTGTAAATGGGTCATCCTACCAAACATTATAAAGAAAAAATTATTGAAAAATTATCCCAAAATATTGCTGCAGGATTGGCAACCTGTCTATTCCATTCTAAGCCCACCATAGTTATATGACCCAGAATGGAGCATATACAGTCAACTCTGACCTTCCCAGGGCACACATACATACCAGTTCACATAGATTAAACAAAGGAAAAGATAGTAATACCCATGTAAAAAGGATGTTAGATTCTCAGACACCCACACAATGTATACACATATCCACAGACACACAGAGGGAACCTATATGCAGGAAAGATATTTTTCCAGGTTGCTGCAATTCTGTAGTACCTTTATGGAATTTACAGTACAGAATATACAATATAGTCCTGTCCTAGTTGGCAAAAATGAAATGAAGGGTTGCATCATTACTTTCTCTGTGGTCCCAAGGTGGAGTCTGTGTGATGTACTGGCTGGAATGTTGGGTTGAGACTAGCGAGACATTGGTTCAAATCCCCACTCAAGCATAGGATAAGTCTGGACTAGCCATTATCTCTCAATCCCACTGACCTCAAAAGTGGATCTGAGGATGAAATAGGAGAGATCCAAATATCACAGATCTTTTTCCTAGGCTTTCTTTAAGGGTTACATAATAAGAATGGAGCTGTCGCCTACTACATGACTCAGGGTGCAAAACATATTAGACTATATCAACTCTCTTTTTTTCTCTGCTTTCCTAGCGTATTTATTACCTGTCTCTGGAATTCTACATGGGCCGAACACTTCAGAACACGATGGTGAACCTGGGTCTGCAGAATGCCTGCGATGAAGCTATTTATCAGGTGTGTTCCGCCTTTGAGGCTTGGACTGGTGCTATTCAGTTTGTGTACATAAGGAAGCAGAATGTATTTATAATATTTGTATGGACAGTTCATAAGTGATGTTAAAATTCAGAAAGTCTCAGTTTTTTAGAGAAGGTTCTTCCTAGTTTTTCAGGAAAATATAAAATTATATTACACATATAATCATGTGCCATGAGACTTTAAAATAGTGGGGCATTGATATGATCCGTGGAAAACAACAAACTGAAAAAACAGCCTGGGTAATACCTGAGCATAACATAGATAGTATTTGATTCTACAATATCAGCTTTGAAGATTAAATCTAGTTAATTATGGAATCCCATTTTATGGAAAATAATTTCAATTTCAATAATTTCACAAAGAAAGGATGATCTGCATATAGAATCCAATATAATGATTCAGCAAATCACATTAAAGGGTTTATAACACCAAAGAATCATAGGTATGTTCTTTTGCAAATTAGATGAATCTGAGTTCCTAAAAAGCTTTCTTCCTCTTGTTCTGGTGATAACAGAATAGAAATTAAAGTCATAGAATCTTTAAGATACAGAATGAAACAAAGAAGGAAATTAGCAAATCGTTAGCAATCACATTCCTTTAAACGTGGACATAAAATAAGAACTACAAATTTTTACACTGTACACAGAGCGCAGCTAACTTTACAGATATTTTACTTATGTTACTGGGATCTCTTCAATATTTGCTGCTAATCTACTGAATCACAAATTGAAGAAAATAGACAGATTTAAGCATAATGCCAAGCTATTTTTGTATTTTAAACTTCAGATCTCATTTCCTCCCCAAACCATTGGATAAACCTTAATTTGTTAGATTTCTTGTTATTCCATCTCTGAGAATCTTGAAGGATTAATCCATAGCCTTTGAGAGTGGAGCACTTTTCCTTAACAGACTCTAACTTTTACCTGTTTAAAGGAATGCCAAGACATAGTTTGTATAAATTGTATTTATGAGCCCTACCTCACAGTGCAAATACACCATTCCTCTCTCTCTTCTTTTTCTTACTCTCATCACAATATTCTTATCTGTTTGATATCTAGATGCAAACTATATTAATAAAGAGACTGATAATTTTAGAGCCTTGTAAGGTTTCAGTCTAATCCACCCACAGCACTTCTTTAAATGTTTATTGCTGAAGGCAGTATGACTCATGGATTCCAGGCTTTTTGGCAGAGCTGCTAATATGATTTAGCCCTGGACAGTTACCTTGCTATCAAATTCACAAAGAGCCAGATTTTCTTTCTGGGCAAGGAGAAGTTGTTTCATTTGAAAAGAAATCAAGCTGAGAATGTTCACCATGGAAAATAAAGAAATCAACGTACTATCAGCAACCCAAACTATATAGACCTATGAGATCCATAATCGGTTTGAAATAGTGGCGAATATCTGTATCTCGGGTTAGGATGAGGGTGAAGGTTCGTTCTCCAAGCTTGTGGGTGCTTGTCAGAAACCAGCCCACAAACTCTGAGAACAAACCTTCACCCTTACCCATGGTCGGATTTTCGGACAGGTTTTGGTTAAAAGTAATTGAAAGGGGAAAGAGGATGCCCATTCTTGGTCTGAACACAAGAACTGGGGAGGTTTGAGAATTAGCAGCTTCCCCATGCCTTCTCTAATTTAAATTGGATCTGAAGTTATTAGTGATGCTAGGATTAAATTCAACTCCTCTCCTCTCCCCTCCCTTCTTCCATCCACTCCATTTCACTTCATCCATGTTAAGTTTCCCACCAGAAATAGTTCTGTCTGTTTTCTCTAACTTTGTGCTAGTGATGTAAGCTGGGAGCAATTAAGATCTGGATGAAAAGGAGGGGAAAGATTAACTGCCTCCTGGTCTAATTAAAAGCAGACCTTCAGATGCACTTCTGTATCCCCACCGTCTTTGTCCTCAATTCCACATGAGCAACAATAAGTAATCCATGTGTAATTTTAAGGAGTTTGAAAAAGCAATGGAACTGAAAGAATGGGTTCTGTAGCAACTGATAGGAATGCCATCAACAAATTAGAGCAGATGCTAAGGGAGATATGAAAGAGGATCTTGGTAGAAACAAAAGAATATTCTATTTTAAACTGCAGTATATTAAACATGATTAGATCAGACTGTGGGCATATTGTTTTGTTTTCCAAAATAAGCTTTCCAGGTCCAGCTGCCCTTACATGTATTGCATGACAGGCAACCTACATAATAAATCTGAATTAAAATTTCATCTCAAATGAAACACCTACTGGGTGATCTTGGGCCAGTCTCTCAACTTGACTTATCTCTCAAAGTTGTTGGTAGGGTCAGTCCTGATAACACAAATGTGCATTTTCCAAATCATGGAAAATGTGCATTTTCCAAATCATGGAAAATGTGCATTTTCCAAATCATGGATGACTAGATTAAGATGTGTTAGGTAAATTCTGTTGGAGTCCATCAATGGGACAAGGGAGATATTGATGCTTTACTACCATCCAGCTGGGAGCAGCTGCCATTCAGTTAGAACAACACCAAATTTCTACCCAAGTAATTGGCCTATGCAGTCTCTTAAATTTTGAAACATTCTATTTAATTTTGAATTACATTGTTATGTCAAAAGTATGATGCAGCTAATTTTATTATCTTTGCTGATATAAATAATTTTCTGCTTCATTCTCTGATAAAGTAACATGCCAGGATTGATCATATTGATTAAAATTTGCTCTGGCTTATTTGAACAAATTACCTAAATCTGATTAATAAATATTTTAAATGATTCCAATAAAAACTGCTAAAAAACTATTTTGCTTTGGGGGTGTATTTTCCTAGGAAAAGTATCAGAGTTTGAGAGACCATGGCTTCTTTTAAGAATCTTACCAGAAAAGAGACAAAAACTGGAAGTGAGATGATTTTAAAGTATTTCACACAAATAGATATTCATTCATTCAATGGCATTTTTTTCCCATATTCATAAAAAGCATAGAAATCCATTCTAAATTATAGAGTGTAGAAATTAACCTTACTCCAATATCAGTAAGAAGCCACCTTGTTCTTCCTTTATAAGAATGAAAGAAATTGGAAATTCCAAGTAGAAAACCTTACATATCATGGTATTTTCTGCTTTTGCTTACTCCTCCCAATAGCTTGGCCTTGACTTAGAAGAGTTGGAAGAGATTGAGGAAGATGCCGGCCTTGGCAATGGAGGACTGGGGCGTCTGGCAGGTGAGCAATGACCATTGATGAGAAGATGCCAGTATGTTTCTATGGAGGAAGACCATCCGTATTGCAATAAGGGGGATAAGAGAATGCAGAAAAAATGAGGAGTATAGAGCTGATAAAATAAGATGCAGAGTTTGAAAGGCTCTCAGTTAACCAACTGCCTTAATAAGCATCTTGCTGGGTGGGTGTGAGAAGCTGAACTCTGCATTGTCAACTTTACCGGCATGGCTGCACTTAGATTGTTCTACAGGGAGCTGTAACAAGCTATGATGAAATGGAGAGCTGTTTGCAATACGGATACAAAGTCTACAAAGCCCTTTTTATAGAATTTATATTATATGAATTAAAGTGTTGAAACTGTTATTTTTTTTAACCTAGTAATAACTTTTACCTAACAATTTTGAAACCTTACAATATAATCTTATTGCCTGAATATATGGGGATTGGGGCTGAGAAAAAGTGCCTTTACTAAGGCCATTTGTGAGTTCATGGAAGAGCTGAAATAAAAGCTAGAACTTTCATGTCTTTAACTCATTCTCTTAGCCACCATTCCACCCCCATCCTTCATCGTTTGAGGGGGACTGTGCAGTCTTATAAACACAAACACACTGAGTTGCATCAGTAACAGCTGCTTGACTGGCTGTTTATTTCTGACTGATAATAACATGCATTGGTTCTTTTCCATGACAGCTTGCTTTCTGGACTCTATGGCAACACTGGGACTTGCAGCCTATGGCTATGGGATCCGCTATGAATTTGGCATTTTTAATCAAAAGATTGTCAATGGCTGGCAGGTGAGGGAAGGATCACTCCTTATTTCTATCTGTCTTGCCAGGTACTCCTAGAGATAATTGAGCTTGAGAGAGGACTGTGATGATAGCTAAAGCTTATCTAAAGCCTTAGGAAAAAACAGCAAGAAGGAATGTTAGATGCATAAGACTACTACCTGAGAACCTTCTAATCATAGATACCCAAAATTGAACCAAGTCTTATCTGTATACAAAGGATATACAGGTAATCCTTCTTTAACAATCACTAGTTCACCAACAGTTCAAACTTACAATAGTGCTGAACAAATGGTACTTGTGACTGATCTTTGTACTTGCATCATGAGGTTGTTAGGTTGCAGTTCCTGTGAAGTGGCTGTGCTAACTAAAAGTCATAAAACCCTTGAGTTTGGACAGAGCCACTTAGGTAATCAAGTCCAACCTTCAGCTCAGTCCAGGATTATAGATTCAGCTTGAACACATTCAGTGAAGGTTGACCCACTACCCTGGAAAGTGGGTCAGCTGTCAAACTAATATAGACTGAAATTAACCTGTAGAGGCAGCTGGATGTTGACTCATCCTTATATAGCCCACAAAATATATTTTACAACTAGCTCTTGTAAGTAATTAGCATTGCCAAATATAAACACTAGCTACAGCAGCTGATAGCAGCTTGGGGAACACCAGTGTTCTAGGTTAGGTATTGTCCATAAGGGCAAGTTCGAGAAATCTTGTGGAAAAGCCTGATTAAACACATATTTAAATAGGTTATCCTATGGACTGCCAGCATCCTAAAATGCTACTTTCATGCTACTTCCTAAAATGCCAGACTCTGAAGCTTTGTAGATAAACTAATATAATAAAAATCAGGGCTGGCAGCATCTTCTAAGATTTTAGCCTCAAGAATTTTAATAGTTCATGTACTGAGAAATGTATAAGATACTTTCATTAGAAGTAAGCTTGTTGGAGAGGCTGTTATTTGCAGCCATTTAATTTTTCCCCATATTCATTCCTCACCACATGCCTCATTTATACCCACTATATTGCTTCCAACCTGTGCAATTACTAAAATTTCTCCATTTTTTCATTTTTTGTAAAATATTCTACTGAGAAACATAAATTCATATTCTTATTTATATCCTGCCATTTATGTACAGCTGGCAATTGTTCATTCCAATTTCCCTGTCAGACATATCTGTTGGAGTCAGATTCACTGATTTTTAGATGCATTCTCCTATTGCATTATAAAATCATTTCTAATGTTTGCTACAAATTATTCAGGTTCGCAGTCAACAACATGGCATACAAAGGTACACACACAGTCATGTCCCCAACTGATCTATCTTTAACATAACAATAATAACAATAACAATAATAGTAAAGTTGGAAGGGACCTTGGAGGTCATCTAGTCCAACCCCCTGCTCAGGCAGGAAACCCTATACCATCACCAGAAGCTTTCCTTTATACTGTACATTTATTCCGAAATACACCAAGAAGACATCACTTATCCTTGTTTTAATCTGTGTGAAGTATTGAACCATTTGTTAAACATTCTATCCATTGTCACACATACTTTATTTCTATCACATGCTACTCTTACTGCACTTAGGAATCAACTTTCAACTCTGTATTTGTGGAAAGAATTCCTGTGCAGTGGTTAGAATACAGTATTGCAGACTAATTCTTCTGACTGCCAGAGGTTCGATCCTCACCGGCTCAAGGTTGACTCAGCCTTCCATCCTTCCAAGGTCGGTAAAATGACCCAGATTGTTGGGGGCAATATACTGACTCTGTAAACCGCTTGGAGAGAACTGTAAAGCACTGTGAAGCGGTATATAAGTTAAAGTTATAAGTTAAATACTTTTGCTATTATAAGCAATTAAGTTAGGTTTATTATACAGTTTCTCAAAATCAACAATTGCACAATAAACTTTCTTTTTCATAGCCATATATTTCCCATTACATTGATTGTGACAATTAAAACAAATATATATATTTAAAATTAGAGAAACTGGAAAAATTAAAAAGATCATTATTTGGCATCAGAATGACTGCAGTGCTGTATTAAGTGAGCATCTTTGGGGAGGATACCCCCCACTTCCATTCAGCCACTAAGAAGCTCTTGCTCATTAATCACACTTCATTGGCTGAAGAAGACAACTTTTTTTATGTCATCTCCTTGTTTTAGGTGGAAGAAGCTGATGATTGGCTGCGCTATGGCAATCCTTGGGAAAAAGCCCGCCCTGAATACATGCTTCCTGTACATTTCTATGGTCGAGTAGAACATGCTCCTAATGGGGCTAAATGGGTTGATACTCAGGTATGCTTTTTAAAGTTACATATGATAAGCCATTAATTACAAGGACAAAAGAGCTAAAAGAGATATGTTATATGGCGGTAGTCTTTTGTTTGGAGATTTTAACAATAGCAATGAATATTTGTCTACCTATCCTCCATGTTACAAGAATAATCATCCAGAAGAACTTCCTCAGTTTTCGGGATTACAATTCACGTTGAAGGGTTGGGTGAGAACAGCCATCTAATAGAGTAATGATAGGGAAGCATTGAAGAAAGTAGAGGCAAAAGCAATAAATGCTGCCTGAATAGGTTTGCATGAAACAGACACTAGGAATGTGTCAAAATGAAGTTTGAATTATTCTAGTTTTTAACTTGATTTTATTCTAAATTATTTGGGAATAGGCTGAGTCATTTCTGACTCAAATTAAATTGTAGTTATATATGAATGCTTGCACAAAGGTTTTATGAATTGTATTATCAATTCATTGTATGAATTGATCCAAATCAGATCAATTTCTGTGCAACTGATGCAGAGATTTGATTTTATTTACTGCCATAATCTGGCACTTTCCAGATATGTTGAGAATACCATCCTCATAATCCCCAAAAAGTATAGGTGGCACATAAGAACATCAAATTTGTAAAGCTGTATCTGAGTCATTGACCTAAAAAAGAAAAAAAATGAGAAAAATCCTGTCAAGCAGGTAGAAGAACAATGGATTCAGTCCATTACAAACATCTCTGTAAAATGGTGTGAAAACACCATGGCAATGAATGGGAACTGGTTCGAAACTACAAGTCTTTAAAGCCAAATGCTTGGATAATTCTTCATTTCTCAAAAGAACAGGTTCTGTCATATTTTTTCTGAATGCCACATTGGTTCTGGAAGCAGAATATCCTATGGCACTGTTATGGTTCCGGCTAATGAAACACTTCAAAGAACTTCCAGGCATATTTTCCTAAAAGTCATTTATTGTTACAAAATGTCGGCACAGGCATAACGGAGGTATGCCAAGATCTAAATTCTCTTCCTGTGAGCAATTAAATTATCAGCATGTTCCCTCCCCCAAATTAGCTGTCAAATATCACATTATCCAATTAATATGAAGGTCAAAGGTTTCCTTCCTCTCTCTTTCCCTTTAATCTCTTCTGCTCTGCATTAACTCTAAAAATACCAGACAATTCTGCATATTGTCAAAGCAAGAATATACAGTATTTGCAACGTTGACAGGCACTTCAGAAACAAATGGATTTGTTGCAGCATGAGCTTTTGCAAACATGAGAAGCCTTCAGAGCAATTCAAAACATGGGCTTCTGTGCTTGTAAACCTTATTTGGACCTGTTCTGGCTGCAATCTCTCTATGTTTTCCTCATAGACACTGGGACACAGTGTTTCACATTTGTTGCTGAGCAGCATATTAGTTGGTTTAAACAGCAGCGATCCTTGAAGAGATTGACTAAACAAATGACTGTTCTTTGCTAGAGATACATTCAAAACTGAAATTTGGTGCCATTTTCCAACTGTTTAGAAATACACAAGTTTCCATAGACAGTTGTAATTGTTTAGTGTTTCATTTTTCATTTGTTAGGAGTTATATGACTAGCTCATAAACTTCCCATGGGTGTTTGATTTTTTAAAAATCAAGTCATTTGGTGCATGCAATAGCCTCATGCTATCATGAGGTAGATCAGATTTGGACAAAACAACTTCCAAGCTTGTGTCAGTCAGAACTTGATCCCACCTTGAATAGACTTCCACACTTATTTACTTGTGTATTACAAACAGTTTTATGCCCCTTGAGTCTAGCAAGTCTATGTGACTTAAGTGCCTATGAAGAGCATAGTTGGATCAAGCCAGCAAACCATCATTCTGTATCACATAGATACACCATCCTCCAAAATCTCAGAAACATACGTAGGAAAATAAGAGACTTGTTGATTGTTGTTCTCCAGCAGCTGATATTTGAGGTCACCTCCCTATGATTCTGAAGGTAGTAAATTTCCACTAAGAGAGGTGGACATTGATAGCTTGATCTTTCATTAATCTGCTTTTGAATCATTTAAACTGGTGATCATTGTCACATCTTAGGGCAATAAATTTCATAGTTATACAGCCAGATTTTCTTTGGTGTTAGTTTAAGGGATGGTTCTAACGTAATTTCATACAAAAGTATCTGATTGTTTTCATGATGTGTTCAAGCCATTCTTTTGACCGGGTCATGGAGATCTGAACATTCTGGGACTTTTAGTTGCAACCTATCCACAGGGCATCAAATTGGGATGGCTGATGCAGGTTGATGAGGGCATATTAGAACATTCTGCTGAGATATCTTTTATATATGTGCACATAGCACACTGTATCACTTTTGATACTGATTGTTCTGCCCTCCTTTGATTAAAACATAAGCCTGTTATATAAATCGAAACAATGTCTTGGAATCATGCCATATGAAAATATGGTTAGTTCTATTCTGGCTTAATTTGCTTTATGAATTTAAACATTTAAGGTTTATTCAATAAACTAATAAAGCAATATATGGAATAATGCCCAATGTTTGCCAGCTACAGAACTGCATTGGGCAGGATTTTCCCATGTATTTTACCTGGAAATATAGATAGGACAGGTTTAAAAAGTAAATGCCCTCCTAACCATACCCAAGCACTCCGATTTTGTTGACAATTTCCATTTTGATCTATCAGTTGATGGTGACATAACCCTAACCGTAATTGGAATTTTCTTCCAGTGGGATTTCCCAATGTATTTTACCAGGAAACATAGATAGGACAGGCTACCAAAGTAAGTGCCCTCCTAACTATAACCAAGCACTGTGAATTTTTTGCCAATGTCCGTTTTGCTTTATGGGTTCATGGTGACCTCACACTAACCCTAATTCAAATTTTCCTCCAATGGGATTTTTCCATGTATTTTACCAGAAAACATAGATAACACAGTCTAGAAAATTCCGTGCCCTCCTAACCATACCCAGGCACTCCGAATTTTTTGTCAATGTCCATTTTGCTCTTAGAGTTCAGGTGACCTAACCCTAACCCTTAGTAGAATTTTCCTCCATTGGGATTTCCCCATGTATTTTACCAGGAAATATAGATAAGACAGGCTAGAAAAGTAAGTGCCCTCTTAACCATAGCCAGACACTCCAAATTTGTCGGCGATGTCCATTTTGCTCTAGGAGTTCATGGTGATCTAACCCTAAGTTGAATTTTCCTCCAATGGAAACATAGATAGGGTACATTAGAAAAATCTGTTCCCTCCTAACTATTCCCAAGCAGTCCGAAATTATTGGTTATACTCATTGTGCTAGATATGTACATAGTGACATAACCCTAATCCTAATTGCAATTATCTTCCAATGGGATTTCGCCAAGTATTTTACCAGGAAACATAGATAACACAGGCTAGAAAAGTAAGCGCCCTCCTAACCATACCCAGGCACTCCGAATTTGTTGGCGATGTCCATTTTTCTCTAGGAATTCATGGTGACCTAACCCTAAACCTAAGTGGAATTTTCCTCCATTGGGATTTTCCCATGTATTTTAACAGGAAACATAAATAGGGCAGACTAGAAAACTCAGTGCCATCCTAACTATACCTAAGCACTTTGAATTTGTTGGCAATGCCCATTTTCCTCTAAGAGTTCATGGTGTCCTAACTCTAACCCTAATTGGAATTTTCCTCCAATGGGATTTTCCCATGTATTTTAAAAGGAAACATAGATAAGGCAGGCAAGAACAGTCAGTGCCCTCCTAACCATACCCAAGAACTCTGAATTTGTTGGCGATGTCCATTTTGCTCTAGGAGCTCATGGTGACCTAACCCTAACCCTAAGTGGAATTTTTTTCCAGTGAGATTTCCCCATGTATTTTACCAGAAAAAATAGATAGGACAAACAACCAAAGTGAGTGCCCTCCGAACTATACCTAAGCACTTTGAATTTGTTGGCAATGCCCATTTTCCTCTAGGAGTTCATGGTGTCCTAATCCTAACCCTAATTGAAATTTTCCTCCAATGGGATTTTCTCATGTGCTTTAAAAGGAAACAAAGATAGGGCAACCAAGAAAAGTCAGTGACCTTCTAACCATACCTAAAAACTCCAAATTTTTTGGCGATGTCCATTTTGCTCTATGAGTTCATGGTGAATTTTCTTCCAATGGGATTTTCCCATGTATTTTACCAGGAAACATAGATATCCCAGGTTAGAAAAGTAAGTGCCCTACTAACCATACCCCGGCACTCTGAATTTTTTGTCAATGTCCATTTTGCTCTAGGAGTTCATAGTGACCTAACCCTAACCCTAAGTGGAATTTTTTTCCAATGGGATTTCCCCATGTATTTTACCAGAAAACATAGATAGGACAGGCAAACAAGGTGAGTGCCCTCCTAACTATACCCAAGCACTCTGAATTTGTTGCTGATGTCCATTTTGTTCTATTAGTTCATAGTGACATAGCCCTAACCCTAATTGGAATTATCCTCCAATGGGATTTCCCCATGTATTTTACCAGGAAACATAGATAGGACAGGCTAGAAAATAAATGCCCTCCTAACCATACTCAGGCACTTTGAATTTGTTGGCGATGTCCATTTTGCTCTAGGAGTTCATGGTGACCTAACCCTAACCCTAAGTGGAATTTTCCTCTAATGGGATTTTCCCATTTGTTTTAACAGGAAACATAGATATGGCAGGCAAGAACATTCAGTGCCCTCCTAACCATACCTAAACACTCCGAATTTTTCGGCGATGTCCATTTTGCTCTATGGGTTCATGGTGACCTAACCCTAACCCTAAGTGGAATTTTCTTCCAATGGGATTTCCCCATGTATTTTACCAGGAAACATAGATAAGTTAAGCTGGAATAGTAAGTGCCCTCCTAACCATGCTCAGGCACTTCGAATTTTTTGGCGATCTCTGTTTTGCTCTCGGAGTTCATGGTGACCTAACCCTAACCCTAAGTCGAATTTTCCTCCAATGGGATTTTCCCATTTCTTTTGACAGGAAACATAGA